GCCAGAGGTCCTGCATCCAGCAAAACTCTCTTCACCATTATTGCTGATGTCTCTTTGGCAGACATCTGAGACACTGCCTATGTTCATATTCTCCCACCTCTTTTCAGGTGTGCTAAGTTCACTTGGCCAGACCCAAACACCTGCACTGTCATAAATATGACACTGGCTCCACTTTAGAGACTATATATCTTGCATGCAATTTGGTGATGCAAAATGTCTTCGGGACCAAACGTTTTTTTTAATGGAAACATAAATCTTTATTATACAAACAAATGCACTGCAATAATCTACAGTACCTTTCTTATGTAAACAAGTCCATGAGCACAGAGGGAGTAGATGGGAGCCCAAAAGAAAAGGGGAATGTATTAAATAGCAAGCAAGCTACAGGGTGAGTTTCTATGACTTACTGGTGTAGACGGTCACGGACTTTCCAACTCCTTTAGTTGTGTTATCTGGCGCTAGCGGATATATTGTGAAGTTATAGAGTGTACCAGGTTCTAAACCTGTAATTACAGCTTCCGTGATTTGGGGTCTCTCAGGCCAGAGAATTGAATTTCCATCTCCGAAAATCTCTATCTCATAGGTATAGTTATCAGCAGCTGAATCATTGTTCTTCCAAGTTAAATTCACTTGATCTGTCCTGATATTCATGGCCTGGATGGCAAAAACTGGACTGGGCTCTGTTTAACGAAAAACCAAGCATACACATACACATTAGTTGCATTTAGCATAACCCAGAGGACCTGCTTCCAGCAAAACTCTCTTCACCATCAGTGCTGATGTCTCTTTGGTAGACATTAGAGACACTGCCTATGTCAGGGGTGGGCAATTATTTCAGGCAGAGGGCCGGTAAACCCAGTTTTGGCAAGCTGTTGAGGGCTGCATGGGTAGCCCTGCACCTTGACGGGTGTCCCACCCCCTGGTCACCATCTTGGGACCAATGTCCCAATGTCTTGGGACCAATGACTCAGGGCCAGCACCGGTAGGGCCCAGAGAGGATCACAGGCTGGCAGGGGTCTGTGGAGCCAGACTGGGTTGCACCAGCAGGGAGAGTGGGGAGCTGGCCCGGCTCCAGAGGCCCTGCTGGCCGGGACCCTATACTCCTGCTGCCCTGCTCTGGGCCCCACCTGCGCTGGCCTCGGGACACCAGTGTGGGCACCACGCTCCTGCTGGCTGCTGCACCTGCTCACAGTGCCCCCCTCAGCCCTGCTGTACAGGCAGGGGGTAGCACGCACCCCTAACCCCGCACTTCCCAGCAGGGAACGAGTTGGTGCTGAGCACAGGGGAAAAGTGGCCCCACCCCCGCTCTGAGGCCAGCGCTCCCTGCTGCAGCCGCTCATAGCCCATGCAGGGCTGTCCCGAGCAGACACAAGCAGCCTCACACGGGCTGCGAGCAGCTGCAGTGCAGGGCGCCAGCCACGTTAGGGGGGGGGCACTTTTCCCCATGCTTAGCACCAGCTTGTAACCCACCCCTGCTGCCAGACTGGGCCCTGCATCAGCTCCGAGCTCGCCCATCAGTGTTGCGCCACAGTGGCACCAGCTGCTTGGCCCAAAGGAAAGCAACCCCCTGCTTGCCACGCCAGGCTGTGTTTGTTGCTGTTGAGCATCCAGAGCTCATACCGCGGTAGGCTGTGGTGAGGCTGCCATCGCTGCCACTGTGCTGCTCAGCATAGGAGCTCCAGACAGGCAGCAGCAGCAGCAGACTGCCCAGCATGGCGAGCGGGGTGGGGGGGCAGGTGCTCCTGCTGTGGCGCAGGTGCTCCTGCTGCAGCGCAGCCCCAACGGGTGAGCCCGGAGCAGGCGCAAGGCCGGGTTACAAGCTGGTGCTGAGCACAGGGAAAAGTGGCCCCTCCCCCGCCCCGTGGCCAGCGTCCCATGCTGCAGCCGCTCGCAGCCCGCATGGGGCTGCCTGGGCCTGTTCCAGACAGCTCTGCATGGGCTGTGAGTGGCTGCAGCAGGGAGCACAGGCCACAGGGCAGGGCTGCTTTTCTGCTGCGCTCAGCACCAGCATGTTCCCTGCATGTGGTCCTCCCCTGCCCTTCCCCGACCCCCACCTGAGTTTCCTGCACTGGTGCAACCATGAGGAGCCACATGGTCCCACACCAGAAGCCCCCGCTGGGGCTTCCAGCTGGGGGGGCGGGGCCAGGTTGGGCAGGCCCTGCTGTTGCAGGAGCCCGCCAGGGCTTCCCCTGAGTCCTACTGCCCCTGGTTCCTGTCATCTTTGACAGGAACCAAGGACAGATAAATACATATTAATTTTCTAAATTTTTTTAAGGGCCCCACAGACTGGACAGAATGACCTGGCAGGCTGCATCCAGCCTGCTGGCCATATTTTGCCCACCCCTGACCTATGTACACCTTCTACAAACCTCTCTTTTCAGGTGTGTGCCAAGTCCACTTGGCGAGACCCAAACACCTGTGCTGTCACAAATATGACACTGGCTCCACTTTAGAGACTATATTTCTCACATGCAATTTGGTGATGCAAAATGTTTTCATATAACACATTTCATATAACACATTAATTGTATTCACAGAACTCAGAGAAGCTGCCTCCCACAAAACACTTCCCCTTAGTGCTGAAACCTTACTGAAAAACTGTCTATGAGCACCTTCTCTGACATCTCTGATTTGAGCAGCTTGGCAAGATCCAAAATTTCTGGCCCAAGGAGCATATGACAATGACTATAAGAATTTAAGAACATACTGTATTTATTTATATCTAAAACAAGGTTTTCTCCCCACAAGCATTGGGGGGGGGGCCGTGGGGGGGGACCTCACCTGAGATTCACGCACCAGCCCAGAGCAAGCAGTAGCTCAGCTCCAGTTTCTGCCCCAGGCTTGAAGCCAAAGCTGAAGTTGAACCGCTAGTTGCCCTAGTTTGGGGTAGCTCATGCAAAAGGGAGAGGACTTGCATGGAAACTCATAGTGTGCTTGGTAGGAGAGATCATGTGACCTGCCCTCCACCTGGTCACTTGGCCTGCTTCCCCTACCTTCCTTCCCCACACTTACCTTCAGCTCCAGGCCCTCTGACCTCAACCTGGCTGGGCCTGGAGCTGCAACGACTGCTTTTCCCTGCACAGGGATGGGACCACTAATCACTGCTCCAGAGCCAGAGCTGCCACACAGAAGACAAATAGAAGCAGGGAGTAGGGAGTGTAAGCGTGCAGCTGCCACAAGGGGCGGGGAAGGGAAGAGACAAATGGCAGGCACAGGCACAGCAAGGGGTAGAGTCTGGCCCCTTGCCCTCCACCACTGCTTTAGGGGGACAAGTTAAAAGGACCCTCCAATAATTACCTCCTATACAATTTTTATAATTTTCCATGTACAGAATCTAATTACTGGGGGCAGTAATGTTAAATTCAAAATAGTCTTCAATTCAGGTACATTTGGTAACCACTGCACTGGGTCAGACCAATAGTTCCATCAAACCCAGCATCTTGCTTCTGACAAATGTCAAGGAGCCGATTCTTTAGAACAGTATTTGCAATTTCAGATCCATCTTCTGAAGTATCCTTAGGCACCACCTGTAGGTTATGTTCTTTACTGCTATATTCAATAGGCCTTGTGTAGCAAGTGCTCATTCCAGGGGTAGTTGCGATGGTCCCTGGTGGCTGTTCACCCCTTGCCAACCTGGCTCCCTTTGGGCTATTTCTTTTAGCATCTCCCTATATGGAAGCCACGTTACGCATCTATTTCGCCATTTTTTCTTCTTTTCTAGTTCTAGTACACCCTTTCTGAGATGGAGTGGCCAGAACTGCACACCCTACTCAAGATATGGACTTAACAGGGCTTTGAATAATGAGCTAATTTCTCATATGTATTGTGGATGTCCCTCAGTATTTCATAACCAAACTTTTATTCTAACGAAACTGTAATCTTTTTGGTACAACCAGGGCAGCGGTCACCAACCCAGAGCCTTTTGCAGTCGATCCTGGGCTCAGGGACCTGAGCACGCATGTGCATGAACACACAGCTTCCCCCCCAGCAGGTCAGTTGGTGGGAAAAGGGAAGGGAAGGGGTGGAAGCCAGATTGAGGCCCCCACAGTGAGGGACAGAATGCAGCAGGAGCCCATAAGCCGAGTGGCTGGGCGGGTGGTGGGAGGATCAAGCCCAGGCAGCTCATCCAAGGGTTCGGGAGAGGCTTCCGCCACTGTGTGCATCCCAGCAGAGGCCTGAGGCAGCATGTGCCCTGCGCTCCCCCCACCCCCATCTGTGCCTGGCAGAGGTGGATGCTGCTGCTGCAGCTGGCCCAGGAGTGGCCCAATGTCACATGCATCTGCTGCACACAGATCAGGGGGGCACATGCCACCCACCAACCGTGGGGCAGTACAGGCAGCTGCAGCAGCTGTGAAGTAGGGAGTGGAGCCAGGACAGGAGCCAGGCAGGAGGATGGAGCTGCAAGTGGATTGCCCAGGGGTGTGGGGAGAGGCAGGGGCGCACATCCCAGGAGGGCACAGGGGGCGCATGCCCCTGGATCTACACACAGGGCGGGGCGGGGCGGGGTAGGCTAGCACTGGGTCAGCATGGCACTATTCCTGGCAGGGGTGTTTGGTAGTGCTGCGCTTGGGCCAGGGGCACTATAGCGAATTCTGGGGTGGCTGTAGCTCCCCATAGCCCCGCTCCCAGCACTGCTACCACCGCTGCCCAGTCCAAGCGCAGTGCAACCAAACACCCTTGCCGGGAATAGCGCCGTGCTGCCCCGGCACCAGCCTGTCCTGGACCCAGCATGCAGATCCAGGGGCCACATGGCGGGCTTGCCCCTGCTCCGGCCCCACTCCCTCCCACAGCGCCATTGGGGCAGGGGGCAGACTGAGGTCCCAGTGGGGAGGGAGGGAGGGAGTGGGGCTAGGGCTGGGGCCTCTATGTGCCCCACTGGCCCTTTCTTCTCCTCCCTTCCCTCCCCACAGACTTACCTGCTGGGCAGGGGGAAGGGGGGAGGTAGGTCTTAGGTTCCTTTTAAATTCCAAAGGTGATCCGCAACCTTAAAAGGCTGGAGACCACTGAACAACGGCAAGAAGTTTTATACACAGCACCTTTGTAACATAAGTGCATGCATATTTATTCAAGCATAAAGGAATATGGGAAGAAAAGACTGGACGTATTTAATAGCAAGCAAACTACACGGTGAGTTTCTATGACTTACTGGTGTAGACGGTCACGGAATTTCCATCTCCTTTAGTTGTGTTATCTGGCGCTAGTGGATATATTGTGAAGTTATAGAGTGTACCAGGTTCTAAACCTATAATTACAGCTCCCGTGATTTGGGGTCTCTCAGGCCAGAGAATTGAATTTCCATCTCCGAAAATCTCTATCTCATAGGTATAGTTATCAGCAGCTGAATCATTGTTCTTCCAGGTTAAATTCACTTGATCTGTCCTGATATTCATAGCCTGGATGGCAGAAACTGGACTGGGCTCTGTTTCAGGAAAGAGCAAGCACACACATAACACATTAGTGCTATTTACAGAACACGGAGAACCTGCCTCCCACAAAACATTTCCCCCTTTAGTACTGAAACCTTGTTGCAAAAGTTGTATATGTGCACCTTCTCTGACCTCTCCTTGTTTTGAGTATCTTGACAAGACCCAAGGATCTGGTCCAAGGTGCACATAGCAATGACCATAAGAATACAAGAACATACCATATTTACTCAAATCCAAAACAAGGTTTTTTCCAAACACAATCACCCTGAGAGAAAAAAAAAGCCTCACCCAAGATTTAAGTACCACCCAAAGGCAGGTGGTGGCTCAGCTACAGATCCTGCCCAAGACTAGGGGCTAAAGTTGGAGTTGAGCAACTACTTACCCCAGTCCGGGGTAGCTCATGCGAAAGCCGGAGGGTGCACATGGAAACGTGTGCTGTGCTTGGTGGCAGAGACCATGTAGCCTGGCCTGGCCCGGTTACTTGGTGTTATCCCGACCTCCCCTTCCCCTGCTTACCATAACCTGCAGCTCCAGCCCTTCTAGCCCCATCTGATGGGGCCTGGAGCTGCCACCACTGCTTTTCCCTGGATGGGGCTGGGACCACTGCTGCCTGATCCAGAGCCAAAGCTGTTGCTGCCACCCAGAAATTAAGTGGTAGCAGGGAGTAGCGAGTGAAACACTTCAGCCACCATCAGGGTGGGGAAGAGAAGAGACAGATGGCAGGCTCAAGCACAGGACAAATAAGGCAAGGGGCAGAGTCTGGTACCTTTCCCCCCACCACTGCTTTAGGGGAAGAAGTGTAACATGACCCTCCAATGATCATCTTCTATACATGAGAAATTATAGAAATGTTATAATTTTCCATGTATATTAATCTAACAACTGTGGGGTGGGAGCATCTTAAATTCAACGTTGACTTGGATTTAGGTATATTCAGTAACAACTGTTGTATTGAGTCAGAACAAAGGTCCATCAAACCCAGCATCTTGCTTCTAACAGTGTCTAGGAGCTGATTCTTTAGAAGAATTTTTGAAATAGGTATTTATCCATATTGGCATCCTAATGTGTCACCAAATAAAGTATCCTCAGATAACACTTGTACATCATGTTCTTCACTGCTATATTCCATAGGTCCTGATGAACCCATTTTTCATAAATTTGGCTGATCCTCCACTCCCCCACCCCTTTTTATTCTACACACTTACCATATTTACTCAATTCTAAGATATGCCTCCTAATATAAAATGGTGGTGGAGGGGAGAATCTTAATTTAGAAACCAGTATGAGGACAGTGAGGGGGCAGGCAGCTGCAGTGGTTCAGGCTCAGGGTCTGGCCATAGCTTCAGCTGCTCCCTGCCCAAACTCCCCTCCACCCTGCATTGCTTCTGCATGCTGCTCTCCCACTTGCAACCTCTTTCCCTGCTGCCCAAACCCCGCCCCACCACCTCTGTTCTCCTGATCCCCCTCTCCCTTACTCGCTTACCCTTGCTCCACACCATCAGGCTCTGTATACACCGCAGTACGGAGCATTGAGCACTGTCCCAGTCCAGCCCCACAGCAGCGGTGCACAGCCTGCATGGCTGCTACAAGGGCTGGGTCAGGCCTGTGCTCAGTGCCCCAGGCTAGAATGGGGATAGAGACTTCAAGCACACAGCAAGAATAAGTGGGGGAGAAGCTGGGAACAGAGGCTGTGGGGAAAGGGGTAAAAATGGCTGGAAGGGAAGGGGGCAGGGGATAGAGGCGGAAGGGAAAGGTTTAACTGACGCTCCAGGCGGAAGGCAGGGATGGCATACATAAGCCAGGTCTAGCAACCTGCTAGACCTCCCCATACCACCTGCATCCCATTACCTGCCTCCTCCTGCAGCAGTGAGGAGGAAGAATTAAAGACAAAAATAGATTCTATACCTGACATATTATGACATATTATGAGAGATTTTTACATTTTCCATGTATAGAATCTAACAACTCGGGGGTTGTCTCTAAATTCAGGGTCATCTCAGATTTCAGTAAATGCAGCATACTATTAGCCTCCATGATATCCCATGGAAAGGAATTCATGTGTTAAAAAGGTAGTGTGGAAAAAAAAAATTTTCATTTTCTTTCCTAATAATTTCATCGGCTGCCTCTAGTGCTACTATCACAAGACACAGTACACAACTGTTACCCATACATTTTCCACAACACTCAAGATTGTAAAGACCCTTATTAGATTCCCCCTCAGCTGTCTCTTCCAAGTTGGAGACTTCCAGCCTTTTTAGCATATCCCTATATGGAAGCCACTTTCTATATCTATTTTGCCATTTTCTCTACTTTTCTAGTTCTAGTACACCCTTTTTGAGATGGAGTGGCCAGAACTACACACCATACTCAAGATATGGACTTAAGAGGGCTTTGAATAATGAGCTAATTTCTCATATGTATTGTGGTTATCCCTCAGTATTTCATAACCAAACTTTTATTCTAATGGAACTGTAATCTTTTTGGTATGACAAAGGCAAGAAGATTAATATACAGCAGCTTTGGAACATAACTGCATGCATATTTCTTTAAGCATAAAGGAGCATGGGAAGAAAAGACTGGATGCGTTTAATAGCAAGCAAGCTACAGTGTGAATTTCTATGACTTACTGGTGTAGACGGTCACGGAATTTCCATCTCCTTTAGTTGTGTTATCTGGCGCTAGTGGATATATTGTGAAGTTATAGAGTGTACCAGGTTCTAAACCTGTAATTACAGCTTCCGTGATTTGGGGTCTCTCAGGCCAGAGAATTGAATTTCCATCTCCGAAAATCTCTATCTCATAAGTATAATTATCAGCAGCTGAATCATTGTTCTTCCAGGTTAAATTCACTTGATCTGTCCTGATATTCATGGCCTGGATAGCAGAAACTGGACTGGGCTCTGTTTCAGGAAAGAGCAAGCACACACATAACACATTAGTGCTATTTACAGAACACAGAGAACCTGCCTCCCACAAAACATTTCCCCCTTTAGTACTGAAACCTTGTTGCAAAAGCTGTATATGTGCACCTTCTCTGACCTCTCTTTGTTTTGAGTATCTTGACAAGACCCGAGAATCTGGTCCAAGGTGCATATAGCAATGGCCATAAGAATATAAGAACATACCATATTTACTCAAATCCAAAACATGGTTTTTTCCAAACACAATCACCCTGAGGGGACAAAAAAGCCTCACCCGAGATTTAAGCACCAGCCAACGGCAGGCAGTGGCTCAGCAACAGATCCTGCCCAAGGTACTAGACCAAATCTGGAGCTGAGCAACTACTCGCACCAGTTCAGGGTTGCTCATGTGAAAGGTGGGAGAGTGCACATGGAAACCTATGTGTGCTTGTTGGAAGCGACCATGTAGCCTGCTCCCTACCTGGTTACTTGGCCTTTGCCCTACCGCCTCTCCTCCCACACACCTTCAGCTCCAGACCGTCCGGTCCCAACCTGGCTGGGTGTGGAGCTGCCATCACTGCTTTTCCCTGGATGGGGCTGGGACCGGGACCACTGCTGACTGCTCCAGAGCCAGAGCTGCTGCCACCCAGAAAGGAAGTGGCAGCAGGAGCATGGAGTAGAAGGGTGCAGCCAGTACGGCAGGTGGGGAAAGCAAGAATGACAAGTGGAAGGCACAGGAAGAACAATAGTCAGAGTCTGGTCCCTTGCCTCCCACTGCTGCTTTAGGAGGGACAAATTTAATATGACCCTCCAATTATTACATTCTATACATAGGAAATTATAGAAATTTTATGATTTTTCATGTATATTAATCTAATTATTCGGGGGGTCATCTTAAACTCTAAGTTGTCTTGGATTCAGGTGTATTAGGTAACAACTGCTGCATTGTGTCAAAGCAAAGGCCAATCAAACCCAGAAAGTTGCTTTCGATAATATGAAGGAGACTATTCTTTAGAAGAAGGGTATTTGAAATAGGCATTGATTCATCTTATGTATCCTCAGGCATCATCTGTTTGTTATGTTCCTTACTGCTATATTCTATGGGCTCTGATAAAAAGAAAAAAAATATGAAAAATGGGTTTAACATAATTAGCATATTTACTCAGTTCTGAGACAAGCTCCTCCACCCGCATATAATATGGCAGGGGGAGGTAGAAGAACCTCAACTTAAGATCAAGTATGGGGGTAGTGAGCGGGCAGGCAGCTGCTGTGGTTCAGGCTCCAGCCCCTGTGCAGGGTCTGGCTGTAGCTGCAGCTTTCTCCCTCTTCCTCACCCACCCCTCGCTGCCTCCATATGATGCTGTCCTGCCTGCTGCCTCTATTCCCACTGTCTTCACCTCCTTGCCCCCCATAGCCTTTACTTCCCTGCTTCTCCTCTCCCTCCCCTGCTTACCCTTGCTCTGCACCATCAGACTCTGTACACACCAGTTTGGGGCACGGAGCATGGCTCCAGTCCATTCCCACAGCAGCAGTGCACAGCCTGCATGGCTGCTACAAGGGCTGGGCCAGACCTGTGCTCAGTGTCCCAGGCTAGAATGGGGATAGAGACTGCGAGCACAGAGCAAACATAAGCACAGGGAGGAGCTGGGAGCAGAGGCTGTGGGAAAAGGGGGAAGAGGGGCTGCAGAGGAGGGAAGGGGGTACAGAGGCGGAAGGGAAAGGGGGGACTGAGGATCCAGAGGGAAGGCAGGTGGAGCAGGCACAAGCAGGGGACAAGCTGCTTGATCTCCCCACACCACTTGTTTCTATACAGGAGAGATTATGAGAGATTTATACATTTTCCATATACAGAATCGAATAAATGGGGGTTCATCTTAAATTCAGAGTCATTTCAGATTTGAGTAAATGCAGCATACTATTAGCTTCCATGATATCCCATGGCAAGAAATTCATGTTAATGAGGTACTGTGTAAAAAAGCCTTTCATTTTCTTTCCTAATAATGTAACTGGCTGCCTCTTGTTTTACTACCGTAAGACACAGTACATAACTGTTTCCCACTCAATTTTTTCCACAACAATCAAGATTTACAGACTCTTGTTAGATTCCCCCTCAGCTCTCTCTAAGTTGGAGAGTTCCAGCCTTTTTAGCATATCCCTATATGGAAGCCATGTTCTGTATCTATTTTGCCATTTTCTCTACTTTTCTAGTTTTAGTCTACCCTTTTGGGGTGGCCAGAACTGCACACTATACTCAAGATATGGACTCAACATGGCTTTATATAATGAACTCATTTCTCATGTGTATTGTGGTGATCCCTCATGCTTTCATAACCAACCTTTTATTCTAATGGAACTGTAATCATTTTGGTACAACAAAGGCAAGAAGATTAACATATAGCAGCTTTGGAACATAAGTGCATTCATATTTCTTTGAGCATAAAGGAGCATGGGAAGAAAAGAATGGATGTGTTTAATAGCAAGCAAGCTACAGAGTGAGTTTCTATGACTTACTAGTGTACACGGTTGTGGAATTTCCATCTCCTTTAGTTGCGTTATCAGGCACTAGTGGATATATTGTGAAATTATAAAGAGTACCAGGTTTTAAGCCTGTAATGACAGCTTGCCTCTTTTGGAATATTGTGTTATTTGGAAATGAAGCTCCGTCTCTTAAGATCTCATAGGTATAACTATCAGCAGCTGAATCGTTGTTCTTCCAGGTTAAATTCACTTGATCTGTCCTGAT